AGATTAGGGACATGTTTCAATTAGCATATCATATGCTTGCATCCATTCATTTGTATTGCATGCACCGAAGCTCGACACATCATTCAAATTGCATTGTCATTTCAATATTTCTTTGAATATGTGCTTAGACCGCATACCTTGAATTGAATCATATGCCATATTAGTAGCCGAGCCTATTAATTGCATATTGCATGTGTTGCATTAGACATTTTGTATAGTTAGAAATCATGCATATTTTTTTAACTCATATCTTTTTGGCTTGGAGTACTAGGTGAGTTTTTAGTGCTTTAGCATACTTGCATAAGTGTGAGTGATTGCCATATCTTGCATGCTTGCCATGAGGGTAAATGCTTACTTGCTAACCTATTTGAGTGCCTGTGGATGAAGGCTTGTTGTTTGAATTAGAACGATTCAATGAATGTACGTTTTTAAGCCCACTTTGTTAAGTGGCAAATTCACAAACTTTAAGCCCACTTGAAATGGCAAAATCAAACCCTTTTCGCAAAACAAACATGAAATTGAGTTGTTCCAATTCAGGCAAACTAGTCTATACTTATGTGTGTGCCCATCACATAGTAATGCTAGCCTAATAACCGGAACAAGAGAATATAATGTTGGTAAAAAAATATATCATGATTAGTAGAGGCCAATCTTTGATCGGGCGAGCGGGGGTGCTCAATTTATGATCTTCCCCTCTCGTACCCAAGTTCTCGAGCCTAGGCAACTTTGGTGATGATGGACACGTGGCCTTTGGCACGAGTCATGGGTTTCCTAAATTTTCCCACAACAAAATATTTAGGTGGCGACTCTATATCTAGCAAAGCAGTCTGATTTTGGCATTTTTGATCCTAAAATTAATTTTCCAAAAGATTTGCCAGATTTAGACTCTTTGGTGTTTATCAATTTCATATTACACTTGTGAGATTAGATTCAGAATCGCAGGAGTCCGAATTGTAGGGCTTTCTTTCAAACCTTCTGAAAGGGGGTGCGAAAAAATCAAGCTACAACTTGTCAAGTTATCCCTTTACAATCCCAATAAAAAATAATTGAATTGCATAATTTGAACCAATTAATAACAAGTTGAGACACCATATGAATTTGTTGTCCCAAGACCCCCAAATAATTTTTCATAGGTTTTGTATTCTCTTAAGTTGGCTATCTCAACTTGAGAGAGTGTTTGGATTTGGTAGGCCCATTTTAGAGCCAATCTCAGTGATTCAAATCATTTATTTTTTTTAGTACTCATTAACTAGAATATTCATGCAAAAAATTAATATGATCAGATATCGGTAGTAATATGTTTAAATTACATTTGTATTACAAAAAATTAATGGTTATTCTTGAATTATAATTATCGTCTTTTTTTTTAATTACAAATGTGATTCAAACATATTGCTACTGATCTCCGATTATCTTAATTTTTTGCGTGAATATACTACTCAATGAGTACTAAAAAATAAATGGTTTAGTTTACTGAAGTTGACCCAAAATGAGTCCACCAAACCCAAATGCTTCTTCATACTACTTAAGGGTATGCATAGTGCGATTCTTTGTGATTTGAGAGTAAAATTATAAACCAAATTGTCAATGACGGATTAACAAATAACCATACCACAGTTTGAACGGTTTAAGCCATTTCAATTTGTTAGTTTATTGAATAATAATTTTCAAACAATTATCAAGTATTTATATAATATATAACACTAATTTATATACTCCCTCCGTCCCAAAATATTAGTCCCTTATTCCATTTTTCATTGTCCCAAAATATTAGTCCCTCTTTATAAATCAAGTACAAAAATAATGTAAATTTCCTATTTTGCCCATCTTTTAAATTAATAAACAATTTAAAAAGTACAATTATGACATTGATATTCCCAAAAAATGTACTATCAAAAGGGTAATTTTGAAAAACCAACTTTTTTCAAATGCAATAAGTGTACTACCAAAAAAAGTTGGATTCCCCAAAAGGGACCAATATTTTGGGACGGAGGGAGTAATATTTTTCATTTATATATTTACATAACATTTTTCATACATATAGCACAAATTTGCAATAAATTTCACTTTTTAATTTCCCTTGCACTGATTTTTACTTTAATATTTCATTAGAGAAAAAAATATATATGTATTAACTATAGCGAAGTGATGCGTTTTCAAAAACAAATTATACATTTCAAACGACGAATCAAACTAACCTACAATTTGTAAGCAGATGAGTACAGATAGTATTTTGCATGGGGTTAATAAGGTAAAATACACTTTGCCCCTTTATATTTGGTCACTTTTCCATTTTGGCCATTCATGTTTTAAGTTTTTCCTAATTTACTCCTAAAGCTAATTTCCGTTAAAAATTAGACAAAAAATAATATATTGACAATCACGTGGCATAAAAATATTTTATTATACATAACTCACATATCGAACATTAACTTAAACCCTAATATAATAATATATTTTTTATGTTATGTGACATTATTATGACATTTTTTATTTAATTTTGAACAAAAATTAGCTTTAGGAATAAACTGGGATAAATTTGAAACATAAAGGGCCAAAGTAAAAATAAATAAATTTTAGAGGGTAAAGTGAAAAAATGGTCAAATATAAAGAGGCAAAGTATAATTTACCCAGGTTAATACTATTTTGGAGCTTCTATTTGCACCCCAAAAAGTAGGTTGGGCACCCTATTACTTTAAGCACCCAAATAATAAATTTGAAATTTTATTTATTTATTTGAACAACCTAAATAATACATATTCTAACCCTAAAAATCCTAAAACCCTATACAAATTTACTTTGTACACCCCCTAACCTATAAATGGAGGAACAAAATAAAAACATTTGGGCTCTCTGGAATTTCAAGCAATGAAGAGAGATTATGAGTTCATCTTTAGATGAAGAGGGATTTCGAGGCAAAAGTCTCCCACTCAATGAATCAAAATATATTTGTTCGGATACTTAATTCTGAACCTATGAAATTTGTTCGGATACTCAATGCCGAACACAAGAAAATTGATTCCAGTTGTTTCATGTACTCTGTGTCGAACAAAATATATTTGTCCGGATACTTAATTTTGAACCTATGAAATTTGTTCAGATGCTCAGTTCCTAATCAATTCGGAAAGCCAACCTATGTAAAACGATGAACAACAATTCAAAATTTACTTTCTTTACAAAAAAATTATTTGAAAACATCTTCTTTGTTATCCATGTTGATTTCAATATGACATAGAATGCAATAATGATGAATTGAAGCAAAGAGGGTTGGGTATGAAGATGCAAAGTGATGAAAATAGGAAGAGAAGAGGGAAAAAGAATATTGGGGTTGGAGTAATATTAGAGAACACGAAAAAAAAATATCATAAAATGTTTCATAAAAATTCTCCACCCTTTGATTATATATACAATAAAACATCACATACTATCCTTGGATTACACATACAACAAAAACCACACACTAATCAAAAGATAAAAAATCTTTATGAAGCATTTCATGATCCCTAACATTACTTATTAGGACTGATGATAAATGAGGTGTACAAAATACTTTTATACATATTTTTTTCCAAAATCCAATCACTGTGTTTGGTTTGAATTTTCTGAATTAAGTTTTTTAAAAATTGACTTTTTTGGTTTTTGTGTTTTTTTATTTTTAGTGAATATTTTTTTAAATTTTAAACATTTTTTTACTTTTTTAGATGCACCTTACTTAGATGTATCTAAAAAGTAAAAAATTTGTGAAAAAATATTTAAAAAAATTAATAAATACATAAAAATACAAAAAAATGTACTGAATTTTTGTATTTTTTTGTATTTTTGGTATTTAGTGAATTTTTAAAAGATTTTTTTTACAATTTTTTTACTTTTTAGGTGTATTTATGTTAGGTGTGTCTAAAAAGTAAAAAAATTGCTTAAAATATTAAAAAAAATTCAGTAAAAACAAAAAAATACGAAAAATAAGAAAGTAAAATTTTCTGAAAAGTGTTTTGAAAAACTGGAAACCAAGCAAGGTGAATATTTTTTGATTGTTTCAAATAGAGAGTAAATAATAACAAAAAAAGACATTACTATACAACTCCAAAATTAAGTCTAATTTTCAAATTTAATGATGTGACAGTTAATTAGGATATTTAAGGCAAAGTTTGGGAAGATAAGAAAAAGTCAAAAAGTTACTCAAAAAGTTAAAAAGTTAATACTATTCACCAAAAGTCAACAATTACGGCTGCACAAATCCCAATCCTAATTTTTCCTTACAAACTAATTTTTACAATTTTTTAATACACGTTTTTTCATAAAAAGTCAAAAAGTTAACCCAAACATCCATATTTTTTTCCTCAATTTTATAGGGGTTGTTTGGGATGACCTAAATAATTACACTTTTTATCTTTTTATGAAAAGATGTGCAGAAAAATAGAAATGTGATCTGATGAAAAAAAGATAAAAAAATGAATTATTTTGTGTATGCCAAACTTGACCTTAGTTTAAAAAGACAAAAAGTGCACTTATTTAGGACATCCCAAACAACCCCTAAGATAACAGTTTCTCTCATATCTTCTCAATCATCAACAAATCATATCACTTAAAGATCATTAAGTATAAAAAATAAATTTAAAAAGATGACTTGCATAATATTTTTTGTAAAAAAAATCATTAAATTGGATGCCAATTTGTTTTGGAAAACATGTTTCAACTTTTAAAAAATATATATAAAAAATAAAAAAATAATATAACTTAAAATAAGTTAAAAATAAAAAAAATTACTTTAACCAATTGCTTCACCATGCAAAAGAAGCTCCCGCAGTCAACTTACCCCGTTGCTATCAGTGGGTTAAAAACACGATTAACAGTTGCGTTTTTAAACAGCGACAGTGGTGTCGTTTAACGAATACCATCATCACGTGGCCAAAATGCCATGTTCTTTTCTTTCGTTTTCTAAGCTTTGTTCAGCTCTCACCACACCACAACTGATCGATCTCCCTTCAATTCATCTCCTTTTCATCTTGCATTTCGCTTTTACAGCTGTAATTCCCGCGCATCTTACAACTGTTGCTCTCTCTCTCTCTCCGACACACACACACACACACACACACACACCAAGAATCAATCAACAATAGTGTAGTCTCTCAATTTCAATAATAAACCCTTTTCTTTACCTTTTACTTGGTCTTCAAACTCAAAGCCCACAATCCAACTCTTCTGCCACACTCCTCTCCCTCTCTCTCTCACACGTTCTATTGCTTCTCTGTTTCTAACTTCCATGGTTCTCTTTGACTTGATCCGCCCCGTATGATTGCTTACTCGGAATCCCTGTTTGGACCCACCAATTTGTCCCCTAAACCCATCTCGAATCCCCACTTTTCTGGTTCTATCCTCTGTTTTAATCTAGGGTTTGGAAAGAAACAGGGGTTGGAACAGAGTAAGAAGCTGTTGCTGTTGGATCACAAGGTTGAGAAGAAGATGGAACTGATTCGGAAATTGACTAGAGGGAGCTTTATGGATCGGAGGAGGATGGGCCAGAAGGTGGAGGTTGAGTCTGTCAATGGTGGTGAAGATGTTTTCGATGCTGTGTCCGTCGATGCCAAGGTTCAACCAGAGCATCTTGTAATCATGGTTAATGGAATGGTTGGGAGGTAATTGGCTTAGATTCAAAATGTCGCGTTTCTTAAATTTTATAACTTGATTTTTGTGAATCTTATATGGGGCATAAAAAAAGGGGGGGGGGGGGGAAGGAATTTATTTAATGTAATTAAGCATATAGTACTTGATCTTGATAGAGCTTAATGGAGGAAAATATTCATGTAACCGACCCAATTGATTGGACAAAAGGCTTAGTTTGGTTTGTTGCCCATTTGGGGTTGTGAGAAGCTACTGCAATCATGATATATAAACTAGTTGTTTATTACTATTTTGTTTTATTTTTTAAACTGAACTATTAGAAACATCTGAACTTTTATGGTTCTATTATAGACCTCTGTAATTAAATTGGTAAATGTAACTGAATGTTGTGTTCCATTGTGTAATTATGTCTTTGTAAAGATGCTAAGTTTCATCATAAGATTTCATGACATGGGTGTGTGACACTTAATTTGTGTCATATAAAAGATTACGGCTTATTGTGAATTATATTGCTTGTTTCTTAGATGTTTTGGCTTGCTATTTTTTATTTAGTGATTTTATTTAACTTTTGAAATCTACACAACACAAGAAATTTGAACTACTACATGATTTACAATTTGACAATTTTAATGGTGATCCATTTATAACAGGTATTTGATGTCTTAAATCTTATCTTCCATTCATATTTGTTACGCCTTTTAATTTGACGGGTCCTCTCCTTCACCTACCTAACATTTTGAATATGTCATCTGGCTCATTCTTATTTAATCTAAGTAGTTTAATTGTTATTTAATAATTGGGAAAGTTGCACCTTATCCTCACAGTTATTCAACTGTTGCTCAACAATTGCTCTTTTATTTTTTAATTGACTTTCTTGAAAACCATGTCCAGAAGATTCATTTACGTCTTGGTTTATGTGCATTTATGTAGCCCATTCTCTTCATTCGTGATAGTTTGCTGAAGTTGGGATGGAGTTTGCTAAAGTTGGAGTTTGTGGGTTTTTATTCTTACTTTGAATTTTTTAGAACAATTCTTTTCTGCTCTCTTGTATACTTTGCATGCAACCACATCCCATGCGCATTCTTTAAAGATATTTTAATCATTGAAAAAGAAAAAGTACAATTCAGCTTACTGATGGACACCTTTGTTATGTGGTCTTTGTATTTGTAGGACATTAAATATCATATACATTTAAAATATGCCGTCATGAACACAAACACAAACTCGGCTAACCTTTTAACATTGTTCTAGATTTATATCCGTACTTATTATTTTTTGAAAAATTTCCTGATATTTTCTTCTGGTGGTAATTGAAGGCCATTTCTTGCATTTGAAAATATTCAAGAGACTGGTTTCCTTATGACATGATATCTGAATTAAATTCTCCACTTTTTTGGTTTTCTATACTTTGTTTCTTTGACATATCATCTCATATGTGTTTGAGTCTTTTTAATAAACGATCAAGTTAAATATGCGATCAATTTATTTTATTTGAACTTCATTTCATATTGTCTTTGTCTTCAACAAATTCTTTTAGCCATATTGGATAACTCACACCCTCTCGTCAACACTAAAATTCTATTCTCTTAATGTTTTATATAGCCTTAGTCTTCATTTGTTTTCAACATTGCACACTCTTCTTCAGTAGATCTCAATAATTTATTACTGACTGGTTTGACTTGGGTTCTCTTATGCTTGATTCTAGTTTTCATATCCTAGTTCTTCCTCTCATCAATATGAAATTTGTTTCCATATTAGAGACCATTTTTTTACAATTAGGTTATGATGACTTGTTAAGAACTTTTTTTTTTTGGGGTGGGTAACTTGTTAAGAACTGCGTCTGCAACCCTGTTATTTATTTACTTTTTATTTTGTGTTCAGTTCTGCTGATTGGAGGTATGCTGCTGAGCAGTTTTTGAAGAGGCTTCCTGATAAAGTTATTGTTCACCGTAAGTGTTTTTCTTTGCATGCATCATCCTTGCCTTTCTGTTTCATGGTTATGGATAATGTTGTATGCATGTTGGTAAGTTTTAGTTCTATAAATGATTTAGTCTCTGTTCCCATGTTTTTTCAATAAGGATTTAGATTATCTTAGAATACTCTAAGTACAAACATAAGTTTCCAACTTATCAAATCAATTGTCATAGGTTGCTCTAAAAAAATTTTCATTGGGTTCGTGCTCATGTGTTGCTGAGGAGATGCTTAACAAATAGTTAATTTTTGTTATGTTCAATATGATAGAATTACCTTACTTTTTTGAGCCCATGTTAATAACTCTACATAGAGGTGTACACACTATGCATGTGTTTACACGTGTTACATACGTAAACGTGTATATATGTTCGCGTGTCATTATAGTTATCCATGTATGACCTTACAGACATGAGGACCATATAATTGTGATTTACTTTTTATTTGATTGATGAAGGTTTTCATGTTGAATTGATGTTGGTTGACCATGGGCACCAAAATCATGGAATGTACTACCTATTTTAATCCAGTTGAGTACTTTTAACAATTGCATTGTATCCATCATGATTTTTTGGTATGTTGGAGACACTCTGACTTGTCATCGTTAAGGTTTTGTTCAATATCATGGAGTACTTATGGGATAGGGTGAGATACTTGGCGTTTTTTTGGGCCTCGGTGAGCTCAATATTCCGGGGGATTCCGCTTTTTTTTGCTTGCTTCGGATTGGGTTTTAGTTTGTTCTATGTAGAATTTTTTGACTTTTCGTATTTTTGTATTTTCTTTTTTCTCTTTTTGGTTTTTCTATTTCTGTTGTAAGAGGATATCTTGTCCTCTTTTTTCTTGGCCTTGAGCCTTAATAAATCTTTGTTTGTTGCTGATTAGAAAAAAAAATAAAATATCATGGATTTGAAAGTTAGGTAGGAATTTGACTGGACGTAGCCTCTTAACTATGCATCAAGTTTAGCTCATCTTTTTGGATTGTGGATGATGCTAGTGTGAAATGTATTTTGGTTATTTATATTTACTATAGCGGTATTTTAGTCTTTAGAGTTAATTAGTGTTTTGTTTTCTATTTAATCTTGTGTATACTATGTAATTAGGTTGAATGGATTAATATAATTCTCTCCCCCATATTTGCTAACATGATATCAAGGCAAGGTTGTCGGAAATCTTTCTTTGATGGGAATCTTTGTAATCTTTGCATTCTTCACAATCAATCGCATTGTTCTCCTTCACAATTTGCAAAGTTGTCATGGCAATCCGAACCCCTTTGTTAGATCACAATTGGTTGCAACCATGGCTTCAGAGCCCAACCTGACTCATTGCACGACTTAGCTTCTACAAACCAAACAACATTAAGTGTGACAGTGATATTCCATGAGCACACAAAACACACAGATAAACAAGAAGGAATTGGGAGAGAATTGTTCTCATTTTTTTATATTCAGAATGATAAACAAGTACACTATTTATAGTCTATATAAGGCACTAAATTAGGAACTAAATAATTAAATAGCTATTATACAACTAGTTATCATACAACTAATTTTTCTTATTTACAAAGTTGACATACAACTAGGCAATCCCTAGAGATCAACAATAAATCTCATCTGAATATTCTCTTTTCCAACACTCCCCCTCAAGCTGGTTTGAAGATATCTTCCATAGCTAGCTTGCCCGTCAATTTGTCAAATTGTTTTCTGGATAGTCCCTTTGTAAGAACATTTGCAATTTGTTCATCAATTGGTATATAGGTTATGCAAATCTGCCCGTTGTCTATTTTCTTCTTGTTGAAGTGCTTGTCTACCTCAACATGCTTGGTTCTATCATGAAGAACACGGTTATGTGCTATTGAGATTGCTGCTTTTTTATCACAGTATGCCTTTATTGGAGAGGGACTTGAGACCTTAAGTTCATCTAAGACTCTCTTAATCCATAACACCTCACAAATTCCGTAGGCAACTGATCTAAATTCGGCTTCATCACTGCTTCTTGCCACCACATTTTGCTTTTTACTAAGACAAGTAACAAGGTTTCCTCCAACAAAAGTACAGTAGCCAGAGGTTGACCTTCTGCCAGTTATACTCCCTACCCAATCTGCATGTGCGTATACTTCAATTTGTAGGTGACCATGTTTTTCAAATAGTAGGCCCTTCCTTGGTGATCCCTTTAAGTACCTTAGGATTCTGTACACCGCTTCGAAGTGTGTTGGACCTGGTGAGTGCATAAATTGACTTACCATGCTCACTAGAAAAGCCATATATGGGCGAGTATGTGATAGATAAGTCAGTCTACCAACCAGCCTCTGAAATTGTTCCCTGTTCTTCACATCTTTGGGTTTAGTAGATTGGAGTTTCAAATTAGGTTCAATTGGTGTCTCTGCTGCCTTGCAACAGAGTAGACCTGTCTCTCCAAGAAGATCCAAGACATATTTTCGTTAAGACATGAAGATTTCCAATTTAGATCTGGCAAACTCCATTCCAAGAAAATATTTTAAGACTCCCAAGTCCTTGATCTCAAAGTCATCAGTAAGGACTCTCTTGAGTCTTTTGAGCTCAACATGAGCATCACCTATTAATACTATATCATCAACATAAACAATTAAAATAGTAATCTTTCCTTCTGTTGAGTGCCTATAGAGCGTAGTGTGATCTGCTTGACTTTGTGTATATCCGTGGGCCTTTACAGCTTTCCCAGGCTTTACCAAATCTCTCAATCCATGCTCTGGGAAATTGTTTTAGGTCATACAAGAATTTTCTTAGTCTACAGTCTTTCCCTTCACCAAGATGTTCTTCAAACCTCAGTGGCAGACTCATAAAGGCTTCTTCTTGTCAAGGCTAACGACTAAGGATAGTGAAACACAGATTGAATTAATCTTTGTGACTAAAGCAAAAGTCTCCTAGTAATCAATTCTGTATGTTTGTGTAAAACATTTTGCCACTAAACGCGCCTTGTACCTTTGTATACTTCCATCACCTCTACACTTTACCCGTAAACACCCATTTGCATCCTACTATTTTCTTGCCCCTCGATAAGTTAACAATTTCCCAAGTCCCATTATTTTTTAGAGCGTTCATGTCTTCCAAAACTGCTAATTTCCAACCCGGATTATCCATGGCTTCTTGAATGGTTCTCGGGATAAACAAGTGGGAGATTTTTGAGGTAAAAACTTTATGAGACTTTAGAAAGCTTATGGTAAGGCACATATTTACCAATAAGATGTTCTGTACAGGTTCAAACTCCCTTTCTAAGTGCTATAGGTACATCAAGATCGGAAGTAGGAGTGGAATGTGACAAAGAAGGATTAGAGTTACCTTGAGTAATAGATTAGATCATCGCTTGGAGATAGTGATCTATTTTGTGTTAGAGTTGTAGGCAAGTCTTTACTTGTTTGATGAGTACCCCTTCGAGTGTAAGCACGAAGCTCTGAGGTAGGATTTGATGAGATCTTGTCTTAGTATTTCTTCCCCTGTTTGTGAGTCATCTAAGTTTGGCAATGGTAGGCTAGTATTTCCCTTGTTTTCATTATTGTGACTACCAATTTCCTAACTACTAAATGTGGAAGGATAAAGCATAGGTACAGGAAAGAAGGTAGTAGGCAGAGGAACATCTATTTCCCAAAACTGAGCCTCATTATTTTCTATCTCTCCTTGAACACAGTTTTGACCAAAGTAAGGTTGACTTTCCACAAATGAGACATCCATACTCACAAAAGTTGTTTTGTTTTAGGATTATAACATTTATATCCCCTTTTATTTGGGGCATAACCGATGAACACACATTTTTCTGCCCCAGGATCAAGTTTGGATCAAAGCCTACTAGGTATGTGAACACAGTGCACCCAAAAATTTTCGCGGGTATGTCAAAGAAAAGTTGACATTTAAGGAAGAAAATTTTGAAACATTCAAGGGGTGTAATATATTTTAGGGTAAATTACAAATACACCCCTTGAGGTTTACTTAAATTATAATTTACCCCATATGGTTTTAGAAATTACATTATGCTCCCTAAAGTTTTTAATTTCATAACAAATAGGTCTTTTATTAATAAATCATCAAGTTAATTAACAGTTTTTAATAATTAAAATTTTATTTCAATTAATAATTCAAATAATTTTATTATTGTACAGGCAAACAGTTAGAAATTTCACTCTTTCAATTAATTCTATTAGATAAAAAATTCTGACAGGGAGGTATTTGTAATTTTCCAAACCATAAGGGGCAATTCGTATTTTAAGCAAATCTCAGGAGGTGTATTTGTAATTTACCCTATATTTTAAAATACAAGTAGGCATTCTATTGATCAAATAAGATGTTGTCAAAATTGCATCTCCCCATAGATATTTTGGAACATGCATTGAGAATATAATGGCACGTACAACTTCAAGTAAATGTCTATTTTTTCTCTCGGTAATATCATTTTGTTGAGGAGTATCACTACAAGTAGATTGATGTTGAATCCCTTTTTCTTTTAAAAAATTTCCCAAAACTTGATTGAAATACTCAATTCCGTTATTGGAATTAAGAATGTTTATTTTTGTTTGAAATTGGTTTTCAACTATATTGGAAAAATTTTTAAACAAATTTTCGACTTCAGATTTATCATTCATCAAATATATTCAACATAACTGAGTGTGATCATCTATGAAAGTTAACCAACCATTTTTTCCCAGAAGATGTGGTAATTTTCGAAGGACCCCAAACTTCACTATGAATCAAGTAAAATGGTTTTGAGGCACAATATGGTTTTGAACTGTAAGTAGTGCGATGGGTCTTTGATAAATGACAACTTTCACAGTGAAAAGATGAACAATTCACATTTTAAACTAGAACATGGAATAGATATTTCAAATAAAAAAAGCAAGGGTGTCCTAGTCTAAGATGCCAAAGCATTATTTGCTCACGGATAGAGAGAGAACTAATACTAGTACAAAAAGCTTGAGCTTGTATATTACGGAGGGAGTTGTCATCAAAATAGTAGAGACCATCCATCATTCCAGCACTGCCAATCATTATCCTTGTGCTCAGATCTTGAAAATCACAGTGGGAATCATAAAATATAACATGACAATTGGAATCTTTAGAGAGTTGACTCACAGATAAGAGATTACAGGCAAGATTAGGGACATGAAGGACAAATTTTAGGGTGATTTTGTTAGAAAACTTGATAAAACCTTTTCCTACAATAGATGAAAGATTTCCCTTTGCAATTCTGACTTTTTTTATGACCAGAACGAGGGGAATAAGAATGAAATACATGAGAGAGATTTGTCATTTGATCCTATGCATCTGAATAAATGATCCTAGGCGTAGGACTAGAATGACAAGAGAAAGCACTAGAGTTGCTACCTATTTGAGCCAGAGAAAACACTAGGAATACTAGAGTCTGGATTGGATTTTAGTAGCTTCAGATGATGAACCGTTTGCCCTTTACTGAAGGCACCAACATAAGCCTCATTTGCACGAGCAAGTCGGTCTCCAGGCTTGTTGCACTTCCAGTTGGCAGGTTTGCTATGAATCTTCTAGCATGTCTCTCGTGTATGGTGGGGTTTGTTGCAGACATCACACCAAATCCGAGGCTTGTCCTTGGCTCTGTGATGGCTATTGGAAGTTCGGCTCACATTTGCATCAACAGCAACTAGGGCAGAATTTTCAATTGGTGCCCCAACCCCCCTTTGTCTGAGCATAACACGACGACTTTCCTTCCTCTGACCCTTAGCAAATATCTCTCCAAGTGAAAGAAGAGGACCACTACTAATGATCCGTCCCCTTCATCAAATTCTAAGTTCAGGCCAACTAAAAATTTGTAGATGCAATCGTTTTCCACTGTCTTGTGGTGATTGCAATAAGCTGGAGATTTCCATTCATAATCATTGAAAATATCCAGATCTTTTTTTTTTTTTTTTGATAAGTATTGAAAATATCCAGATCTTGCCACAACCTTGTCAAAGTATTGAAGTATTTGGTGATGTCATCTCCCTTTTGTCAAATTTCTCCAAGTTGTAGTTGTAGTTCGTACACTCAGGATTGATTGCCAAGGTCAAAATACATTTGGTGAATATTAGCCCAAAATTTTTTGGCAATTGGATAGCACATATAGTTAGAGGTGATGTCTTCATCCATGGAATTAACAAGCCAAACCATAACCATGGAGTTTTCTGCATCCCAAGTGGCATGAGTTGTATCCTTCAAATCAGATGCTTTTGCATCACCAATCAGGTACCCAATCTTTCCTCACCCTCGAATATACATATGCATTGATTGAGACCAGCGCAGAAAATTGTCTCCATTAAGGCATATAGTGGTTACCTGAACAAAGTGCGAGTCAGAATTGGGACAATGATTCTCAGTAGACTTGGATCTAGACATCATAAGAGGCGAAGGTTTCAATTACCACGAAGAAGTCCCAATAATTGTTTGTTTGTGAATATAGAAAAGAGTCAGAAATAAAGTTCCTGCTCTGATACCTAGTAAACAAGAAGGAATTGGGAGAGAGTTGTTCAATATATATATATTTTTATTCAGAATGATAAACAAGTACACTATTTATAGTCTATACAAGGCACTAAATCAGGCACTAAATAATCATACTGCTATTATACAACTAATTTTCCTTATTTATAGAGTTTACATACAGCTAGGCAATCCCTAGAGATCAGCAATAAATCTCAGTTGAATATTCTCCTTTCCAATAGACTGCCATTTTGTTCATCATCATTTTCAACAGGGTTCATTTCTTGTCTTGTCTCCTCTTTGCAGATTGTGGACTTCTTTACCAAAACTCACACTTCTACTTGGTTTTAGTTCTTACTTGGCAAAATCTTGAGGCTTATCGTCTTTTGTTATTTTATATATACCGTAAGGGTATTTTAGTCTTCATATATTATGTTTGGTCTTATTAATTTGTATCGCTGAGAATTTATTGATTATGTTTTTTTGTTTTGTTTATTTATTAATTTTTTATTTTTATTTTTATTATTATAAGCTTGTTACCTAATTTCATGAAATCTGTAATATATTATCCCACCCTCTTTGGTTTGCATTAAGTTCAACCCTATGATGGAAATTTTTGCTTATATTATGGCTTTGTGATGTTCTTGACAAACTTATGTGAGCAGGTAGTGAGTGCAATTCTTCGAAACTGACTTTTGATGGGGTAGACCTGATGGGTGAGAGGCTAGCTAGAGAGGTACTTTGGTATTAGCATTTTGGTTGTCATGGTCCTGGGCATGCATTGGCTATTGAAATTCACTACTTAAACATGCCTAGGATTTTATTTTAGAATAGTTAATTTGATAAACACCATAAAATATCTATCTGAAGAGTAACTACTTTTTGCCACAGGTGTTAGATGTTGTTGAACATTGGCCTGAGGTGCACAAGATCTCCTTTGTTGCGCACTCTCTGGGTGGCCTTGTTGCTAGGTATGCTATTGGGAGGCTGTATGACCTTTCTCCTAAAATGGAAACCTTGGGTCTTTCTGCTAAGGGCTCAAATGGAGAGCATTTAAATGATTCAACACAATACCTTGAGCAACAGTTTGAAGCTAGAGTTGCTGGATTGGAACCCATGAATTTTATAACATTTGCAACCCCACATCTTGGTTCAAGGGGACATAAACAGGTGATCATAACGCTTATATATGCTTTTCCTCAATTTGAGCGTTGTATTAGTTTTATCATTTTTTAATAATCTCAAAGGTGTTTATGTTGCCTGTTATGTGTCTTTGTGTCTGTTTCTTTTTTGACTTTTTCTTAAATTTTAGTATTTTAGATTTAGAATGTGATCCTTTAGGCCCCATTTGTTTTGGGGTTAGATAGATGGAAGGGGATTAGGATGGAGGTGGGGTTATTTAGTGTTGTGTTTGTTTGTAGAGTTGGGGAGGGAATTAGGATGGAGAAGGTGATATAGATGCAGGTTGGAAGGGGGATTGAGATGGAGGAGGTGGAGATGGTATTAGAAAAATAGTGAGGGGATTAGAATTTTTTTTATTTTTTTTATATTGGGAATTTTTTTTTTAATATTAATGTTTAATTTTTTATATTTTTTTATTTGTTTTATTATTTTATATAAAAATAATTTAACAATTCCTACACTAACAACTATCATGAAAACAAACACAATTTTACTTAATCCTCTCACTATCAATCCCCTCCATTCTACCTCTGAAAACAAACGGAGCCTTAGTGTACTTGATCATATAATCATCATAGTGATGATTCTTAAAAATTACAAACATCGAGGGAAAAGATAGATTGGTAGACCTTTGAATAACTAGGTCACTTGGATGGATTATTACTAGTTGCATCAAACTTGATGCTCCTCTAGAAAGTTGTCATTTCTATTTATGCTTACAACTCATGTTATGCTCATGCAAATTTTTTTATCATTTTGTATTATATAAGCATTACTTCGTCATCCTTTTTCTTACATTTTTTTCTTTCTTTTTGCTTCCTCAGCTCCCCTTTCTCTGTGGTCTTCCATTTCTGGAGAGAAGAGCCCCTCAAACTGCACACTGGGTTGCTGGGAGGTCTGGGAAGCATCTTTTCCTCACTGACAATGATGACAGGAAGCCTCCCCTTCTCCTTAGGATGGTTAATGACTCTGATGACCTTAAATTCATGTTAGTAATGGTTTATTTCCAACAGTTCACTCACTAATTCAGAAATTGAATGTTTGTTATTACTTGTCTACTGATGGCATGATTTCTAACCTGTATAGGTCAGCTTTACGCTCTTTTAAGCCAGAATGATAAACAAGTACACTAACCATACTGATTGTATCCTTTTCTAACTTCAAGTTAGCTATTGAGTTTGATTTCTTATGTACACACAAAATCTTTTCTTTTGCCGATATTTTAATTTAGTGTTTCATCTTCACTGATCTATAAGATGTGGTTGGATGGAGAACATCATCAATCCGGCGTCAACATGAACTTCCGAAGGTTGGTTTTGTTTTCTGTCTATTGCACTTCTTTGGTTATATGATGTTTTGGATTGCTCTGTATCTCTTATAAAACCAAATGCATTCCTTGATATTTATATCTTTCTTCTTTTGTAGTCCAATGTCCTGGTAAAGGACAAGAAGTACCCACATATTGTGTATGTTGAACGAGAAACTACGGAAAACATCCATAGTGAAGCATCTTCCATGGCTGGAAAGCTAACAATTGATTTGGAAGGTTTGTGAAACTTCTTTTTTAACAACATCAACTACCTTCATGTGTATAAATTTTTGCAGTGTTCATAATTGTTGGCATAGTGCAGAGAGAGAAAAAAAATGCAATCAGTGAAGAGAGTGAAGTGTATCCCTTGTCCTTGGAAATTTATTCTCCAACTCTTTTACCTTTGATTTGATTTAGGTACAATTTGGAATCAAATTTGGGAGGATATTTCCTCACCTTTTTCCAAAGAGTTCAATTTTATATCTCTCTTTCCTTCTCAAGTTCCTACTGGAAGCCTAACAACTGATGCAAATCCTAATTGGAAACCTGCCAATATTCTTTGCTATAGTTATGGGGCTGACAGGTCTTGATACTTGTTTAGATTATAGTTATGGAATTGACATGTTTAGGTTTGTTGTCTTTCTATCATATATTGGTAAAGTAAATTATATTGAAGAAGCTATAAGTTTCTGGGGAATATTGTATATTCAATTGTTTTACAATTACATCAAAACCTTAGTTTATATAACCCTAACGCCTAAACTAAAAAGGAAATACAAGATTTACATAATCACAACCATACCTAATATATACACAATCAGAAGTATATCAAATCTATAATATATACGATATATTCTCACCCCTGCTCAAATTCAAGGTGTTTTAGCCGAAAACATGGAGAGTTTGTCAAGAAGAAACCGAAAACGAGCAGTAGTGTGAGTCTTGCTGCAGAAGTTAGCAAGTTGTAGCGCCGAAGAGACAAAATGAAGTGAGATAGAGCCAGACTATATGTGCTAACGGACGAAGTGACAATCAATCTCAATGTGTTTCGTTCGTTCATAGAAAACAGTGTTATGGGCAATCTGAAAAGCACTTCGGTTGTCACAATAGAGAGGTTGGAGAGGACTGAGGAACGCCCAAGTCAGAGAGGAGACAATGAAGCCAGACAACCTCAGCAGTAGTGTGAGCCATAGCACGATACTCAGTTTCGGCAGTAGAACGAGCAACAATAGTTTGTTTTTTGCTTTTCCAAGAAATCAAGGAATCACCAAGAAACATACAGAAACTAGAAGTAGACTTACGATCAGTAACATTACTAGCCCAATCAGCATCATCATAAGCTACCAAATCCAAGGAAGAAGTAGAAAACAACAAGAAGCCTTGGAAGATAGTACTGTGGAGATAGCGAAGAATCTAAACCAAAATAGCCCAATGCGTAGAGCGAGTAGCAGAAACGAACTGGCTAATCACATGAACAGCATAGGTAAGATCAAGGCGAGTAATTGTTAGATAGACTAAGCAGCTGATAAGCTCGCGATACAAAGTAGGATCATCCAGTGGGACACCATCAGTAGTGTTAAGCTTCACATTAAGCTTAATGAGGGTATCAGAAATCTTAGTGCCAGTAAGATTGGTACGGTGAATAACCTCATTGGCATACTTGGCTTGAGACAGAAAGTAGTCCTTGGGAGAAGAGGCTACCTCAATACCAAAAAATTGCCGCAATGGTCCCAGATCCTTCATTTCGAAAGTATGGAAGAGATGCTGCTTGACTTCAGAGATAGCAGAAGTGTCAGAGCCAGTAATAATCATATCATCCACATACAGTAATAAGACAACAAAACCAGCAGAGGTGTGGAGGAGAAACAAGGCAGAGTCTTGGTCACACGGATGAAACTCAAGCTCAGTAATAGTGGTCTGAAAGCGATCATGCCAAGCACGAAGAGATTGCTTCAAACCATACAGAGCACGCCAAAGACGACAAACAAGTCCAAAGGAATGATGAAGACCAGGGAGAGGATGCATTTAAACCTCCTCAGTGAGATGGCTCTAAGAAAAGCATTCTTAACATCCATCTAATAAACAGGCCAATGATGAACAGCAGCAACAAAGATCAAAGTACGAACAGTAGTCATCTTGGCAACAGAGGCAAAGGTCTCCTCATAATCAATACCATACTCCTGTGAGAAGCCTTTGGCAACCAGGCGAGTTTTGTATCACTCAAGAGAACCATTAGAGTGAGTCTTGACTTTGTAGACCTATTTGCAATTAACCAGATTCTTACAAACAGGCAAAGGTACTAACTCTCAAGTACTAGTTTTCTGTAAAGCAGACAACTCATCCTCCATAGCTCAAATCCAATAAGGATCCTGATTAGCCTCCTTGTAAGACTGAGGTTCGGAAAAAGAGTGAATAGTAGACAAAAACGTATAATATGAATGAGAAAAATATGTTTTAGCAAAAACAAGTTTGACTACCTGTTTACGAATGCGAAGGGAATACTTACGGTTAACAAGATCAGAGTCGTCAGAAGCAGGAGGATCAGTAGCAGGGTAGAGACAACTGGTGAAGGGAGAGCCTTATGACGAGAATAAACTAACAATAGAGGAGAAGAAGAAGCAGGTGGAGGTAGAGCCAAAGAGGATGGAACAGACTCATGGGGGATAGTGGAGAGGGATTCAGCAGGGGGGGTGGTAGAAGGAGAAGAGGGAACAAGCTCATGGAGAACAGTAAAGATATACTCATCAGAAGGGACCTCAAAAGGGAATGGATCAATGTGAATCAAATAAAGGCGGCGAGAAACAGGATCGTAACAACGATAGCCCTTTTGAGTAAGACTGTAACCCAAGAAGACACACAGGACAAAACGGGCACTAAGTTTTGTCTTATCTTTTTGGAAAAGAAGGATGAAGCACGCAAACCCAAAAACACGAAGGAGAGAGTAATTGGGAAGTTAGGAAAACGGAGCCTCATAAGGAGAACAGCCAGAGAATAAGAGGGTAGGCATACGAGTAGCTGTAAGAACTGCTTCCCCCCCTTCCCCCCAAAAGAGAGCTGGAACAGAGGCAGAAAGAATGAGAGATCTAGCTGTCTCGAGGAGATGACGGTGTTTATGCGCAACATGACTATTTTGGGCTGGTGTATCAATACAAAAAGTTTGGTGAATGGTACCCAAATTAGCCAGATACTCACAGAATTCAGTTTCAAAATACTCTCCACCTAAGTCAAATCGTATCAATTTAATGGTAGACCCAAACTGTGTAGTGATCATAGATTGGAATGTATGGTATATTTAGTAGAAGTAAGATTTATGAGTCATAAGATAAACCCAAGTATAGCGGGTGCAATCATCAACAAAAGATACATAGTAGGCGGAATCCCCTTTAGTGAGAACAAGAGAGGGTCCCCAGTCATCAGTATGTACAAGAGAAATGGAGAAACAAAAATAGAAGTACTTTTAGTAAATGGTAAAGCTGACATTTTGGCAAGTTTACATCCCTGACATTCATCAATTTGACTAGGAGAAACTTTATCCAACAATTCGAACTGAGTAAAAGACCATAAGCGGTCAATAGACAAATGACTTAGGTGAGAATGCCATAAATAAAACTGACTCGACTAAGAATCTAACTGAAACGAGGAAAATGCAACTGGAGAGGTAGATAAAGGGAGATGCAAGCTTTCTACCACATAGAGATCTCCAACTCTACAGCTAGTCTCAATCTGCTTCTTGGACACCCGATCTTGCACACAACAGACAAAAGAAGAAAAGACAACATCAAAGCCATAAGTACCAAGTTGACAAATAGATAATAAACTGACAGATAGTTGAGGGACATAAAGAACAAAGGAAATAGTAACAACAGACATAGCAGAGGGTAAGATAGACCTAATAGACAGAACCAACATACCAGACCCATTAGCAGTATTAATAGTAATAAGATCGAGTGGGAGAATATAGTTTTTAAGGAAAGGTGAGAAGTCATATGATGAGAGGCACCATAATCAAAAAACTAGACGGAAGCAAGGATACCTGAAGACGATTCAAGCAAACTTGGAAGAAGAGAGGTAAGAGTGGAGGCAGATGGAGATGATTGAGACGTGGACAGGATATGCTAAAGTTGAGCAAGCTGAGCACTTAAGGAAGGCAAGTCAAGATCTGAAGTCAGAGCAGATGCAATATAAGCAGTAGGAGGCCGGAAAGTACTCGGAGCAGGATTGCAGACTGGGATGGAGCAGGCTGACGTCTCTTCTTGGGACAATTGTATTTCCAATGACCCCTCTGGTGGCAGAAAGTATACTCATTTGGATCTAATGACCCCTTTTTGGGCTTTGCAATGGCCTGAAGTTGATGAGGAGAAGGGGCTGATAACAAAGGAGGCTTAGCAGGAGCCAAGAAGACAGAGGGAGGTAGAATCTGACTGGCCGTCTTAAGACGGGTTTCTTCGAAGAGGAGCTCACGAACAATAGCATCCACAGAGAGAAGAGGAGACTGATGAAGGATATCACCACGGATAGCCTCATATTGAGGGGAAAGAGCCATTAAGTACTGCACTAAATGACCCTGCTTCCAAAACTCAACATAAGTGTCTAGTACTTTGAGGCTAGGTGGTTCCGTGAGAGCCAACTAATCCCAGAGACCTGTTATCTCAATATAGAAATCCTGAATAGTCTGATCCTGCGGACGAGCACTCTTAAATGCTTAGCAAAGTTGAGCTGCTGATAAACACCCAGTAAATAATCCCATACCTCCTTGGCAGTACTATATTTGGAAAACATCATTCCAATATGGTCATCCATAGAATTAT